AATGATATAAACTATATTAAAAAATTTATAGTACAAAAATAACAAATGCTAATGAAATAATTGAATTTTTTTTTTTTTTTAAAGAAAAGATGAGTTAGACGTCCTTTTTTGATATGTACGTTTGATCCATATTTAAGTATTTTCGATGTCCGTTTGGACAATTCAATATCACAACAATGTAGTTTTCGAAATGAGTTTCTACATGACATAGACGATTGTGGATTCGGATAGTATATGATCGTAGACGAATTTTGAAAGTTAGTATATTGTCGAAATTCTCGAAACACTAATTTCAAATGGCATATTTTGACGTGTCGTAACTTTTACTATGGTTGACCATTTCGAACATCTTTAGTGGGCGAAAAATTAGGCCACAAATACTGAGAAATGATATTAAGAATGCAATACTTCGATTTCATTTGACATCTCATAATGAATGCATCAAAGTATATTGTAAAGAAATCAAAACAACTATTTTTTTGGGAAAAAAATAAAAAATAATCAAAGGCAAAATATTTGTGGGGTCATTTGACCCACATGACTCCACATGGGTCCGCCCATGAGGGTGAGGTTTTGAAGATTTGAAGAATTAGAAGGGAGTTTTGATAAAAGGGACGAGGGATAGCCGGATAGAACGAATGTGTCACGAGAGAGGGAGAGAAAACTATAAGATTTGTTGTAAATTTAAAAAAAAATAATAATAATAATAATAAATAAAAATAATTCCAGTTTTTTTTAAGTTGGGGTGTCACGTGACCCCTCATGTCCCCCTCGCTGTCCGCCCCTTCTGTACTTTAGTTGTTGTTCTTGTCGTTTGTGGCTGAATGAGGAAGATCTTTTAATTAGCAGAAGTGGCAGGTTTATATCAAGTCAATCTTAAACTTTTAAGCACCATTTCTAGAAAAAAATGGATTTTTGAATAGTGTATTGATGGAAATGTGTGATTAAAAAATAAAGAAAAGTTTTAAATTTACCTGTAATATTATTTTATTAAAGAATGTGTGGTTGAAATGATGTTAAAATACTGTAGAAAAATACATTTTTTCCCATAGAATGAGGATCAAACATGGGCATAATTTCTTAGCAAAAGCGTGCTACTGGTTTCCTCTAATCAAGAGGGACAAAAATTATCCTGGAAGACCACCGATGAATTCATGGCTTTACATAGATATTTCACAACAACTTATATGGATAAATTGTCTATTATGTTGTCTAATCTGAGACCAGAAGATTCATCTGTGATTGAGGATTTTACTCAACATGGCCCACTCTTGTGCCATTTTGTAATTTACGTGGGAGAACTGAAACTCCTTCGAATCGCTACGGCCACAAGAGTTCAGACTGTAACCGGTGAGTTCAGAAAAAAAAAGTGAATAAATTGAAATGAAGTGTTCATAAAAAAGGGTTTGTAAGATGTTTTGTGGATCGTCCCAATATCATATTAAAGAATTGAGGAATTGTCCATACGTAAAAAATCATAATTGTAGATACCGGACTTTTTCCATGGAGAAGGGGAATCTTGTATTACAATAGAAGCAGAAGTGACGTGGATTATTCAAGAATTGAAATTGATTTGCTTTATAAAAGAAGATATCAATGAACTTCTATAAAATGATTTCACGGGATTCGGCCAATGAACCGACGGCCTTATATTGCATAAAGGTTATACATTACAAGCTGAAGTTCGTATATCTCCCAAGAATCGTGCCAACAAATAAGAAAAATGCCGATAGGAATGCTGAAGTATCGAATATCAGGAATTCTATTTTTAAAGATAAATCTGTAAAATCCAAGTCACCAATAGGATGATCGGCCTAGACACTAACCGTTAACAAACTCAGAGAGTGGATGGATTGATGAAGACAAGATCAGCAAGTTAGTCCTGCTGCTGAACGATAATATCAAAGTTAGAGTTGCGAAAGTTGACGTTTTCATATCAGGAAAATAAAAATAAAAATATAAGAAAAGAAAATCAATGTCGTTAATTTCGACAATACATGTAAAATACAAAATTGACAACCATAACTAAAGCCAGCCAGCTGCACATAATCAGCAGATTGATTTCTTTCTTCTGATCAATACAAAATTGATGAAATCAAGAAAAGATTACAGCATATAATAATTTCATCCCTCGAGTTCAGAACCGAACAAGAAACATGAATAGGTACCGCAGTTCTCTTGCTCTGCTGGTTCTAGCAATTCCTCAATCAGCAATTGTTAATGGTGGTCAACATCTGAAGAGTGAGCTTTAATGCAGCCAATGTTCGGTGTGTGATTCGGATAAATGTCCTCCAAGTGAATCTTACCCCCATATGACAGCATTTGATGACACTCTCATTGCTGGTTCCTTGCAATCCGACCATGTGAGCTCGAAAGACAAAGGTGTGTACTCGGTGCCAAATATTAAAGGGGGCGAGTCTGAAAATTATAATGAATATTACGGCTGGGAATCTACAGTGGCGAATCCACGAGTTTGAGTCGGCACGGGCGGTCGTTAACAATCAATCATTGGCCACAATAAAATATTAAAAGTCCTTTTGGTATCCATTTTTTTTTTGGCATAAAAATGCATTTTGAAATGGTGATTTGATGCAGAACGTCTGAACGTGTGACTAAAAATAAAGAAAATTTTTGAATTTACGTGTAATATTATTTTATTGAAGAATATATGGATGAAAAGAAGAAAGAAAAATATAGTTTTAAAAAAGGGAGAACCGAACAAGGCCTAAAGTATAAATATAATAGTCATTTTGTTTAAAATAAATATATATAATTCTGTTATAAGATTAAATAGAATTCATCAAATAACATTGTTGCCAAGTTTTGTATAATTTAAAGGAATAGTGTGAATTCAAATATTTAAAATTTTTTACATTAAAACAATCAAAACCTAACAAATATCATTTTGTTAAATTTGGTAATACAATTCAAGAGGTATCATAATGGTTAAGTTTATCACAACCCTTGCTTGAGATCATGGGTTCAAATCCTCATTGTCCCTTCTTTATTGAATTTTGGTAAAAATTATAGAGTAAAAATAATAAATAACAAATCCATTAATAAATATTCAAACCTAAAATTTGAAGTATATTAAGGCTGACTCTCACCAAGTAAGCTACAGGGAATGTTTGAAAGTAAAATCAATTAACAATAATATAAGGTAAAAATTTAATCGATTACTAATAAAAATAATAATAATAATAAAATATTCTGACAGATCCAGCTAGCCGCCCTCTAGATCCGCCACTGGGAATCTACCTCGGGATTAGTTGATGGTTTCCATAGGTAACACAAATTGTCCACTACTAAAATCAATCACAAACTGTTATAATATGTAACTCATATAAAGTAGAATACATGTTTACTAAAAATAAATAAAATTATTAGCCAAGCTCTATTCCTTGCACATTTGCAAACATACACGAGCACATGGGTGGATCTACAGTGGGATCCGTTGGCCCCACACTAAATTAAAAATCCAAGATTTTGCAATAGATTTTTACACAATTTTCTATTTAAAAAAAAATCCTTGTAATTTTCAGTTTTGCCACCACAATTAAAATTTTGTGAAATTTACACCCACAACTCTACTCTCCTTCCTTCGCCCTCATATTTAATATAATATGTGGTTCATATAGAGTAGAATATATATTTACTGAAATAAATAAAATATGTAGCCAAGCTCAATTCCTTTGCACATTTGCAAACATACACACACACATGTGCAAATCTATAGTGGGGTCCGTTGCACCCACACTAGATTTTTCAAGATTCTACAAAATTTTCAAAAAAATAAAAATAATAAAAAAAAAATTATTGTAATTTTCAATTTCGCCCCACACGATTAAAATTTTGTAAAATTTGCTCTCCCAACTCTCCTGGCTCCGCATTAGGATGACACAAGTTCCTTCCATGTAGATTCAAGAACTACATGAGCAAATGCTCAAGTAAGAGCTACCTTACAGTGGACAACCACGGGACAGTAAACCTACGTGCATTAGAATCGCTGGAAAGCTTAGCAGAAGCTGACTGGAAATCAATCAATCCACCCAAGAAGTTGAACCATCGAGAATTCAGATTTTGGATGTCTCGCGGTTTAGGAAAATGCCTTACTGTTTTCGGAGGAAAGGCAGGGAAACGAAATGTGGGCGTTTCTGACTGCAAGTTTGATGGATCGAATCCATACCAGCTATTTGCCTTTCGGTTTCATTTCCATAAAGCCTTCTGCTGTTGTGGCCAATACAACGAATAATTTCTCCACAAGCCCCGAGTACTGATCATGTCAATGTATAGACAGTTTTCAGAATTTGATATGGTGACATTCTAATCAGTTTAGACGAATAAAATAAATTCTGTATATCAAAGATCTTAAATGTTCGGTTTTCTCTTGACGTGGAAGTTAAAGCATTCTTTTTTGAACCATGCTAGACTTACAGAAAAATTTCACAAATTTTTTCACAGATAGACACATGACAGAATCTCACTTATTTCAACCAAATTAAACAAAAAAATGCACCATACGGGTGCCGACAACTTATTACCTTGTTCTTCTTTTCTACACTTATCGCATGAGAAATTAAAATCTTTCCCTCTTTATGGTTCTGCTGAAAACGTTATTTTCCTTTTTTATTGAAGTGAACTTACAATGATTTTTATATACATACGATTCTGTTATTTCTCGTCTACAGAACATAGGTCCTCGACTTCTTCCTTTCCTCAATGTCAATCTTCAAATGGCAATTTTAGCATCTAAAAACTCAGCTTGATCATCATTTGTAATCTTGAATTTGTTCATTTGAAATCTGGGTCCTCCTATTTCACTTTTATTTAATATTAATATTTTTCGTAAAATTACCAGACGTCTAGCATCCTCTCACGCTTAGCTTAGCTTTCATGGCTATATTAAACAGACGAGTTTCAAGCAATCCATAAGTGGATTCACAACAAGAGGTAGACACTATTAAGTAACACAACTTCGAGACACCATGAACACATGCTGCTATGTAAGAACGACAACGATAAAATTTGCATTTGATGTCAAATGATATCTAACTACCACTTGTTTGACAAAAAGATCTCTCAAATCTTCAAAATTGATAAGTAGTATAACCAGTTTTTCAGATAAAACTCCGTTAACCAGTGGGTGTACTAAGGAAACAATTGAAAACAAAACTAGCTCAATTTCAACAAGGGTACGTTCAGTCATCGTCCTCATCATCATCAGCACCTGCTGCAGCATTAAGTGCATTCAAGCGCTCGATCAACTTGGCCTTCCTCTCTTCATAAGTGAGCTTCTTCAAGTTGTACCTGAGCACAAAACAGAATCCAAGATTAACAAGTATCCAGAAAAACATCTCAAAGAATGCATGCAAGAGAGAGTGATCTGCTATATTCTCAAAAAATCGAAACAGCTTATGCAAAATCCTATTTGTCGTCAAATGCATCATAGAAAGTATATGAAAAATCTGAACAAAACTGAGAATGTAATTATTTAACTATAGCCATAAAAAATCCAAACAAGAATAAACCAGGGAAAATATATGAATACGCTCACAATTATGTAAAGTTAAGACCATAATTGGAACCATCTGCAGTAGAAAGTACCGTGACACTAGCATCTAGAGCATCTTAATATATATGTGAGAATGTAGTCTCCACAGCCAGAAAAAACCAGTTATACCTAAAAGCCAACATTGTCATAGCAATCACTTGAAACTAGAAGAATATATCCACTACTTAAAGAGTATGTTTTGCAAAGCTTTTTGTATATTACAACCAATGTATCCTACAGAATGCATGGACGAAAAATGTTCGACCAACTTATAAGTTCAGAAAAAGCACTCCCAACATGCTCTTAGTGGAAAAAATGAACACGTTTCATAATATTATGTTGACTTAAATAGAGGTTAAAAATGTTTCCTCACCTCTTGTGTTCCTTAGGTGGCTGTTTCTCTGATTGCTTAGCAGTTGGGTCTGCACGGATGGCAGCATGAACTTTCTTGTACATCTCCTCAAGGCCTTCTGGCTCAAGTCCTTCCTTGATATATTCACTGAAGTGTGATTGATACTTTTCTGGTTCATCTTCCATTAAAGTCTAGACATATTTTACACAATATACAAGTAAGGCCAAGTCATATTATCCTTTCACTTTTATGTTCTCTCTGGTTATAAAGTGGCAGAAGTTTAAAAACAAGAACATTACCGACATATATGCTGCTATATGGCCACCATAAATGTGCTTCCTGTGAACCTCAGCATCAAGCTGCTTAGACTCCTTAGAGAAACCAGCAAATCTCTTATCGCTGTGAGGAATATCTAATCCACCATCTAGTGCTCCCTGCCATTAGTACCAAATAGGTACAATAAAAATAAGTGCAAACAGACATAACAAATCAATCGCATAACATATAGAGATCAAAATTAAGCAAAATGAAAATAACAAATGCATCACTGGCTTAGCCATTTAGGCTTAGAATAACAGATGATATTTCACATAGTTATGAAGCCCAACCACATGAATCAGGTAAACAATTAGAACCTGCTGGAAATCCTCAGCTAATAAAATGTTATGTAACAGCTTCAACTGAAGGTAAGAAACAAATGTATGCATCTTTTATAAATTCAGATTCAGCCAGCAAACAAAGTATTCAATCAAATGAATAATAGTCAAACTTAAAAGGATTGATAAATGAATCCTCAAACTGGACTGAGTTTGCCAAGAAACAAATAAGAAGGCAACTCTGTCAGAAAATACAGTAACGCTGGCTGCATGAAACAAATAGAAGCATATACTCTGGAAATTTTTTTAGGGCAAACCATGACAACAATTGGAATCCAGTTTTCTATGTATCTACTGGCTACTGCCACTTTTCTATAAATTTTATTGCAACTCATTTGATCCTTTCAGCTTCAGATTTCAGCATTGCTCGAAAGTTTGGAAAGTGAACGGAGACGTAATACAGTACTCTAGAAGGTTCATGACATAATTCATACTTTATCTTCCCAAAACATAACATGCAAAGTCCAGAAGTTACAAAGCAAGCTATTAAGAAACTTATACATAGGTTAGAATGCATATTAAAGGAACTCTATGTTTCGGAACCATTGATAGGAATTCAGCAAAAATCTCAAAAGCAAAACAAGCTGAGAAGATCGAACCATGAATATTCATGTTGCGTAAAGTCAACTAAAGATAACTCAAGCATCATAAGATGTAATCAAATAACACTACTACTGAAACGAAACTATACGTTTTTTATAGTGTTGGAAATAGAATAATGCTTTTTCCTGTTCACTGTAATCAAATTTAAGCACTCTTTGACAACCATTCTTGCAGAACTCTCGTTCTCTCATACTCATTTTCAACCACACATTCTCACAATAAACTATTCTTTACGTAAACTGAAAACCTTTTCCTACTTTTTAACCACACATTCTCCGAAAATTTACTATTCAAAAACTCATTCCAATAAAAATTCTGTCAAACAAAGGCTTAATACACATGCATGACTCCATAGCTATGAATCAATGCGTGACCAGGAAGAATGTCATTCAGAAGATATGCCAGAAATAACAGCCTATTATTAAGAGAATATTGTATATGCATTTGGCAAAATAACAGCAAAACTTTCCATTGAAGCAACCAACACGTATCACATAAATTGCAAGAAGGCTTAATGAATATATACCTTAAGAGCACCAAAAACACGATTTCCAGTTGTTGTTCGGATAAGGCCTACATCAAGAAGTGTGCGAAAGGGCCTTCTGCTCTCTGCCGGTTCAACTGAGTAATCCTCTCCAGTTGCCTAACAACACAAAGGTCTCAACTCTCAATAGAACTGGTTGATGCAGATGAATTACAATGAACTAATCATGGGTACAATGCATCTACAGTACCTCCGAATTGCCTTCATACTCGTCATCCATCTCAAGCTTTTTCAAGACACGACGAGCCAAAAGAAGCCCGGTACAGTAAGCTGGTCAAGAGATTGTAATTAATACCGCATCAAGAAAGCAGCAGAAATAAATTTACAACATACATTTGCACAGAAATGAAGGGAGAAGTTGGTTTGTAGCTGAGGTGCGGAATGAAAGGGAGATGAAGGAGAGTGAAAGACACCATTGCAATACCTGCAGCATAATTGGTAAGACCTACTTTGAGTCCACAGCGAGGCAACTCGTGGGCATATGCTGCAGCAAGAACCAAATCTCCAGCAATATTTGCAGATACAATTTGTGCAATAATATCCTTGTTGGTAAATCGCACAACATATCGATACTTGGGAGTGTTGTACTTGTTCTTATCTTGGTTAATTAGGCGAATCCTTGCCCTATAATCAGTCTTCCCCTCTGCATGTTGGACAAAACAAAGATCAATAAGTATTACATTCATAATGTATCACATCAGATATCTATCAAATTTAATGCAGTAAAAGCTGAAATAGAAAGCTTATGGCACACCTCTCCTTCTCTTATACTTGACCTGAAACCTCTTGAAGTACGCCTTTGACTTTTGTGCTTTGACAAAGGCCTGAAATGTAAATATTCTAGTTCAAGCCTATAGTATCTAAACATTAAATCCAGTTTCATGATACATGCAGTATGAGGGTAATAATTGCATTATAAGAAGCCAATGCATAGTGCACTTAACAAAATTCAAGGGCAGATTTTAGTCAAACAAACAAATGATATCCATAACAAATGAAGGAACGCTACTTTTAAATGAAACGGCATTCCGAAATTCAGCCAGTGCATACTCAAATCATGTTTCGTAATTCACCTCCATTTACCCAAAGAGCATAAGAAATAAGAAAACATAGTCAATAAACCCAAACACTCCTACTCTTCTACTTTTCCAATTTCATCCATTTCTATGGAAAAATAGAAACCAAATTCAAAATCAGAAAATCCAAATCCAGATTCAATTTTTAGCAATTCCCGCAAGTTTTTCACAGCAACCATAAACTTTTTGTATTTCATAACCCAAATATATACCTATAATAGCACGAAAAGCGAAATAGAAATATATGAAAGATTAAGAAAATGTTCAAGAGGGATCACCATAGTTGAAGCGGGAATTAACTATTAAGCAGCGTCGTGTGAAGGGCACTAAAGCTTTTATTCCAACAAAATAGAGGGCTTTACTTGTGGGGCCAACTTACACCTGAAAAAGAATGCTATTCAGGATATAATGAAATTTTGAATACGGATTTTTTTAAGAATGTATGATTGAAACATAAAAAACGAGGATATGTGGTTAAAAAGTACAATTGTACGATATGTACGTCACAATTTATATATTTGTTTATTAATAAATGATCTAGCAAGACGTGATTGATCAAAATTTCATCAATCAAATAAAAAAATGTTGAATGGCAGGTCATCATGTGTAAAAAATTATATAAATAGTGATATACAATAGTTATTTTTCTTTATTAATTGATGTACAGAGAGAGAAAAAAATAATGGAAAATAATCAGTTAAATTTTAATATAGTGTCATATTGTCTATCAAACTGTATGCTGACGCTACTTAGCCCTAGTTTGATCCCCATTTTNAATCAGTTAAATTTTAATATAGTGTCATATTGTCTATCAAACTGTATGCTGACGCTACTTAGCCCTAGTTTGATCCCCATTTTTGAAGAAATAATGTATTTTGAATAGTTGACTAAGGGAGAATGTGTGGTAAAAAATTTTGAATTTACTTATAATATTATTTTATTGAATAATGTGGGGTTGAAAATAAATTTTTACAAATATGGGCTTATTTCACACTTTTGTTAGTTTCCGGGCTGGAGGCATCAACTTGGACCAACACTTAATTCGGGTGGATTAACTGCCATAATCAACCCGACCCGTAGTCACCACAACCGATTTGATTATTATTTAATTTAATCAGTTTTTTCCCCCACAAATACAACCCCAAACCCCGCCCCACGCCCCAACACACACTTGAGTTCTTGAATCTCATTTTGCCAAGGTCGTATATGTATTTGCTTGGATGCATGTATTTTTGTTTTGTTAATTTTCAGATATTAGATCTTGAAGTTTCATGATATATTGTAGGTGTGAACGGATTGTATTTGTATAATTGGTTATAGAAATGTCTTCAGCTAAAGACCCTTTTTACATTGTCAAAGAGGAAATTCAAGATTCTGTAAGTATTTTCCATTTGGATCCTGGATCTATTCATTCTATTAATCTATTTTATTTTCACTACCTCGATGAGTTTGTAATCCGGTTTTGATGTATTTATCACTGGAATTTGTGATTCTGTTTTGATATTTGAGGAGGGTTTGGTTTTATATTTACGATTTCATCTTCCTGAGTTGCCAAAGAATTTTAATTCAACCATGAACACCCGTGAATTTTGATGCTTTTAATTGTTCTGTGTTTTTTGGGGATTGGATTTTAGGTGGTAAATAATAAAAGACTCTGTTTTCGGTATCAGGAGTGATTCAGAGCTTATCGGTCTGTATTTTCGTTATAGGTGTAGATACTAGTTATAGTGCATCTGGAGGTTAATACTATACCGAGAATGAAGTAATAAAAGGACTAAAATGATAACATTATCCGAAAACCGACATGACAGCATTTCAAATGTATGTGAATTATACAGTGCACTAAATGGAAGAAGAAATTTGGGTGAGTTTTGAATCTGTGGAGTATATAGTACATTCCTTGATTTCCATAATATTCGAAGTTTTTTAACTATAGAGTTCAAGATAAATTCTCTCTCAAAGCAATGCCAGTTTTGCTTAATGAACTGCAAAGGACAAAAATTTACATCTTGTATCGGCCCTTATGCTACACAATTAGAGAAATATTCACAATAACTACATTTTTTTTTTCCTGTGGGTTGCTGCTTGGCTTAGTCGATTTTTTTTTTTTTTTTTCATTTTTCAATCATGCTGCATTGAATTTTCCACCTTGAGCTTTATCTAGCTCAAAATTTGTATAATACAACTAAAAAGAGAAAGCAGAAAGCAATTAACTGATCTCTTAGGCTTAAGTACAGTGTATTCATCTGCCAATTCTTAATGTCTTGCTATCAAACACATCCTAAGGAAATTCTTGGATATCTCTCTACCAGCTTGGTAACCTGGAACTGTTTTTCTAGCTGCTAAAATTTGCTTCTAGTTGCTACGTCATTTGAATTTTGAAAAATATATCTAAGCATCCATTACCTACTTAATTAGATTGACAAGTTGCTCTCAACATTTCACCAATGGGAACAAATGCCTTCAGACAGTGGGAATCAACTACAAATCACTAAGGAGCTTCTTGCTAGTTGTGAGAGCATAGAGTGGCAGGTATGAGTTCACACATGAACCTGTAAGATGTACCTAATTTTTCTTCTGGTCACTTTAAGATCATATACCTTGAAAATTGTTGACACGCTGTATGCTGATAAGTTCAGTTTCAATGTTCAGTTGATACATTATGCTTGTGACGTGACTTCTGCACTCCCTTTGCAACTTAAACCAATTGTTCATGAATCCTAAATGTTAATATTTTAATTAGTATCCTTATTGGGGCCATCTCCCTTACATCTGCTTCACATCAACAACAAGAATGCTTGAATGCCAACCCTTTCGACAATAATAGTAGCTAGTATTTTCTAGCGTCTTTATATGCATTACATGTCGGAGAAGAATAAACTTGATTTTCATAAATGTGCCTACTTCTTTCCAAGTTCCTGAAAAACAATAGAAAAACATTGTATCAATACTGAAGTAATTTTACTGATAGGAAGGTGGATGAATTGGACAAGACAATTGCTGTTGCAGCAAGAGATCCTTCTTTTTATGGTATTACCCAGGTGGAGCTTGATAAACGAAGAAGATGGACTGGCAATTCTCGTACTCAGGTATACGTACTATAACTGCTTGTTGATTTTGCTCTATTCCTCCAAATGATGTTGCCTATGGATTTATATGTTGCTTGAGTCTTATAATTTTAACTTTCAAAAGTAACCAGAGTGTGGATAGCAGTTTTTGTTCCTTGGTTCCCCAAGTTCCAGATCACCTAAAGGATTATTTTTATCTATAGGTGGGAAATGTGAAGAAATCAGTAATAACTGGGAAGGGGTCAAATGACACAAGCACTTCTGGTATTAATGGAATGCGGCGTGAGCTGATGAGACTTCCAAATTCTCATCAATCTGACATATCCAACCAGTATGCACAAGATAATGATGATTTTATATCGTCAGAATCGGACCAACAACTACTTCTCATGAGGTTAGTTTGAACGCCTATTCTGCCTTATTTTTTATCCTGTCCCTTTGTTTTATTTAATTGTTGTGTTCTCATTAGCAAGTTCGGAAACTGTTGTTTAGGCTATCTTTATTCTGTTGTACTCAATCAGACAATGCAAAGGTCTACCTTGCATTTCATATTCATTGTTATAAATCTTAATGTTAGTGATGTGTCATTGCTTACCTCCATATCAATAACTTGTCTGGAACCTTTAAGACCCAGACGGAGGAAAACTAATATTTCAAAGGGGTTTATGCTAGAAATGTGAGTGATGCAATCACAGTAGAACGAATTAGAAGAAAAATGGGTAGACCAATACTAACACGGCATGATGTGGCTATTAAGAATCTAGTTGCTTCCAGTCTTGCGGTAAATGTTGTCATGATGCAAATGGAGCGCTGAAAAAATAATTTATGTAGCCAACTTCAAATATATTGGGAATAAGGCTTAATTGCCTTTTTGGTTCATTTTGGAGGATTCTGGTGACAGCAGCTGGTTGAAATAAATTGGACTATCATCTTGCCTATATCTCATGATGACCAGCACTTCTACCTTGTAATGAACACTGTTTTTTTGTACTAGCCTGTTTAGTTTGAGAAAGGCTTTCTATCAATAAAGAGAAATATTTAGTTTGAGAAAGGCTTTCTATCGATAAAGAGAAATATTTTCAGGAATAGACGTGCAATATGGGTTAGTCAAATTTTCAGATGTACTTTATCAACTGGATCTTATTTAGATCAGTGCTTCTCACATTGCTTTATCTATTTTCATTAAGTAGATATCTGCAATCTTCCAGTGTTTCGTTTTATTGACAGGAATTATGTCATGCAGGCAACAGGATGACGAGCTGGATGAGCTCAGTGCCAGCGTAGAAAGAATTGGAGGTGTTGGCCTTACAATACATGAAGAACTCCTTTCACAGGTTATTGTTGCCTATTCCTAATTGATCGATATAGAAATGCATCACTTCTGTTTGTCATATATCTGGTAAAATTTAACCAAGACTTGCAATTGCCGTACTAGTGAACCTTCTAAACTTTCTTTAAGAATTTTATTTTTTTAATTTTTTTTTTGCTGCGATTTTTTTGCTAAATCTGAGTTTGATGATATATAGGAGAAAATTATAGATGAACTGGGTACAGAGATGGACAGTACATCAAATCGTCTCGAATTTGTTCAGGTGATTATCTTCCTTTATTTGCAATCCACTTATTAAAATTCTGCGTTTAAGTTGCTTTTAAGGTAATGGTTTAAGATTCTTGGTTTTTCCCTACTCCCTAACATTCTCATTGTTCTGTAAATTGCATATTTCTGCAGAAAAAGGTTGACATGGTAATGAAGAAGGCTGGAGCAAAGGGTCAAATTATGATGATTTTGTTCTTATTCGTTTTGTTTGTTGTTCTTTTCGTGCTTGTCTTCTTCACATAGGTCAAGAAGTCAGGAACCAAGGAATTGAGCTGTGTTCGAGGGACACTTTCGATTCGCGGGAATTGAATAAAGCAAACATTTTAGCAGTTTATGCACTTGTTCTTGTGAGATTGTTTATACTGGGCACTATCTATTGACTTCATTTATCTTCAAGGGTCCTTGATACCAATTATTTATGCCATAAATTTGTAGAACTTTGCTATTTGTACACTGATTTTTGACACTTTGGTTGACACTTACATTATTGTCAAATGTCAATTGGATGAAAAAACTGTTTTAAATTTAAATTGTCCAATAGGATCATGACACGTTACAAAGTGTAAATTAAAGTGTATATCATAGTATAGATGTAGCAAGGTTCTTATATGTAATCGAACTTCATTTATAGTTCTTGATTAATGATGCAACGAAAATGGCACAAACGATGGGAAACCAAGAATTTGTTGGTTTGCAATCGGAACCGAATAATTGATTTTTACGCGCAAATTATGGATTGCACAAAATATCGATTTGGATCAAGAAATTGAATGTGATTCCTAATTTTATTATAACTCAATAGTAACCAAAATCGAATAGTTCGAGCCCTTAAGTGCATCTTCAGTGTATTATATGAATTGTTAATTGCATTAAATACTTAATTTGGATCAAGAAATTGGATAAAACTTCTAATTTTATTATAACTCAATAGTAACCAAAATCTCAAAAGACCGAATAATCTAAGCCCATAAGGGCATTTTAGACGCATTATATGGATTGTAGTTCACCTGGCAAGCAAGTTGAAAGATTAGTAATTTACGTGGTATAAATGTCTAGTGAATGAATATCTAAGTTTAACTTTCTTTTCTTTTTTCATTTCAAAATTTAATCTTAATATATATTTAATTGGAGAGACTAAAAATAATAAATAGGAAAGTATATAACACATGGGAGAGAGAACTAGAGTAAAACTTTGTTATATCATGTCACAACTTTCTATTGTTGGATACTGCCCAAAAAAATACAGTGTTGGCAACACTGCATTTGACACTTGTACAGAAGGATTTCCCTTGTTCAAGTGGTTTCATCTACAATTTAAATGCTGCTCGGTTGCTGACATGAGAGAGGGACGGAGACGGAGAGAGTAAATATACATTTTGCTCACTCATTTTGTTTGAAAGAACATCTAACATTTTTTTTCACATTCAATGTTAGCATGGAGATATCCTAAAAGCATGACCAAGCAAAATGGGGTTCAACAACGTAGTATGAAACATTATTGAAGTTTTATATAATTGCATCTCTAGTCCCTTCACTTCTATCAATTAATTAATAGGGCAACTTACAATTGAGACTTTTTAACTAAAAAGCGACATACAATGTAACATTTTAAATAAAAAGTGATGAATATGTCACTTTTTATGTAAAAAGTGACGTACAGTGTCACTGTTTTCTTGATCATGAAAAATTAATTGACAGTTAATAAAACAAAATAAATTAACATCTAAAAGAAATTCTAGTAAACAAATTTAAAGCTTAGCCAAAAATATATTTTTCTATTAGAAATTCAAAAAAATGACACACGCTTTAAAAAGTGAGAAACAACAATCAAAACTCAGAATAAATTCGAGGATGGTTGATTTTCTGCAACATGTTATCTCTTTATGATTATGTTTCACTTTTATTAACTAAACATAGAATATAACTTCATTTAAATATTACAACACCTTATAAGTTGAGAGTGACGGAAATTCATAAAAATGATTGAAATCCAAAAATAGTAATAGGAATTCGAAAATGACAGCGGGAAATTGACTTAATAATCATGATTTATTTTGTGGTCAACAATTGATGCAAGATAATTTTCGATATTTAAACTCTGCACATAAAATATTTATCATGGCCACATTGCTAGTTTTCTAACAGATTTTGAAGTTCAAAATAAATGAAATGTTTTTAATAACAAAAATTTTAAAAGGTGAATGGAAAAAAAATAAATAAATAAATTCAGATTAGGGAGGACGCCATGTGTTTGGAATGATTTGCTTGACTTTCAAATTTCTTCATATCTATAGTGAAGGTAATTAATACGAGTCTTAAAATTTTAATTTAATTTAAATGTATTAATCTAATTCATTCTTTAGTGGTGTATCTAATTTCCTCTTAAAGTTTCCTCATTTCCCGGTCCCATTTACTCATTCATATTTTTTAATATCATTTTCAAATTAAAAACAAAAATAAAATAAGAAATAAGAGTCGAACAAGTTAGGAGTGACCATATTTTACATCTCTATTCCCATTCCTACCCCGATTCCTCGATAGGACACACCCCAATGCCCGAGTTTACTTATTAGGTTTTACTACTGGTTTTGAATTTATTTTATTTTATTTTTTCCAATTTATTATTTTTTCTTTTGTTTTAAATTAAACTGATGTCTAATGGCACTTACAATTAAAAAAAAAAAAAGTGACTTTTTTTTACAAGACAAATTGACGATATATTTGGATAAGTAAAGTACCTCACTAGGATAGTTTTAAAGGTTGGGGACCTGAACATCATACTTCCTAAGGTCCCTGGACTGAAGCTAGAATTTACCCTTCCCCTCAATTCTTGGCTAAATCAACCGTCCAATTTGAGGAGAGGCTGTATATAAATAGTATATTGCCGCATCCTATTCTTTTGTTCCGACAAGATGATGATGAATGGATTTGAGAAAGAGACTCCCAATAGTGTTGAAATTTCCATTTTTGGAATGGAATATGATCAAAATTAAATCTTACGTCAAACGGATAATTTTCGAAGTGAAAAGTGGCAAAGAATCAATTATGAAGGAAACTACGATGCCGCTCTCGCAGCCTGCACCGAAACAGTGATTTAACCTAGATGTGAGATTCACGTCAATTCGGATTACTCTCTCTCTCTCTCTCTCTTTCTTTTCTTTTCTTTTCTTTTCTTTTCTTTCTTTTTTTTTTTTTAATTCTCTCGTTTTCAAAAAATTGAAACGATTGAAGTTTTTCTATTTGGAATCGTGTAAGATCTAATTCCTTTTTTTGTTCCATCTCATTTTTCCTTAAGATAAATCTAAAATTTCAGAGTATATCTTTCCATGTGTCAAAGCAGAAAAGATACTTCGAATATTTTTCTATTGAATTTAATCTCTTTCCAAAGAAATAGATATCTCCAAAAGAAATTTTAAGTTCAATTCTTTTTTTTTTTTCCCTCTCTCCACCCGGATAAACCTGCCTACTCGGCTATTCTAAAGATTCCTCAAGGGAAAAATAGAGATGTCTCCTACGTTATCCATAATATGTGAAAGTATCGACGTAATTTCATAGTCACTTTTCTTTATCTAAAAAGACAGAAAGGCCCTAGAATTTAAAATTGATCCAAATTCTTTACCAAGTTCACTTATGAAAGTTAAGAAATCAACAATTTGGGGTGATAAAAACGACCATGAATGTATTGAAGTTAAACCTTCTTACTCTGCAA